TGAAACCAGGCTAGCTAAAAGGCAGACTGTCCGAGATAAAATGTAGCTTTATGTGAAAGAATAGTTAGCGTCCCTTATCTCTTCTGTCGGAACTGCGTGGCTACTTAGCTTACAAAGAACCTGAAACCAGGCTAGCTAAAAGGCAGACTGTCCGAGATAAGGGCGTTTATTTGCGAAAATATTTTTGGGATTTTTGTTCTGTTGTTTGTTTATGCTATGCAACAAACAAATGCAGCAAACATATGCACACACAATTCGATCATCCACGAACAGGCGAGAATTCGTTTTTATCACGAGGTAGGGTTTTCCTGCAGAAAAGTGCATTGGCGAGGGTAGGTTCTAACTGTTCTCACCAGGCTAAGGCCCCCAAGGTGCCCCCATTATAGGGTCCCCACTCTCCAGCCCTCCGACCATGCTTAGCACTAAGGCCATAGTCAGTCTTGTTGCCAAAAGAGGAAGGTTATCACCTTGAGTGGTGGTTTCCGATCACACCGGTGGGCACAAGGTCATCACTACAGCGAACCGTACCTGCCACCCGCTCTCTATGGATTTCTCACTTGCCTTCGGGTATAGAGGGAACTGTTGTGTGCAAGGGTTTGTGTACAGTTTGTATTTCAAACAATTGCGTAAGTATAAACAAACAACAGTTATTTAAATCCAAACCGTAAAACATGTTATAATACAAGGTAAGGGCAAAAGCATTATTTTCTTGGTTTATTTATTTTTTAAGCCGGTCCATCACTAAATGGGATCAACTCTCGAGGCTTCCCCAGTGGAGTCGCCATCTGTCACTGCCGTAAAAAAGAGGCGGTCGGAGCGACGCGATGGTTTCGACCCTCTTGATTTTCGCTTTTTGGTGGTTACAACGCCTTTAGGTTGTCCGATAACCGGGCTGAACCTAGGGGCGAGGTTTTCAAAAATGCGCTCTTGGATTGTCCGATAACCGGGCTAATCCAAAAGCTAGTTTTGAAGGGTTCTGTGGAGTCGCCACCGATGTTTTTACCGGAAACATCGGAAAAGGAGTTAAAAGGCGTTGGTTTTTTGAAAAACCAACTTTGGTCGTTAGAACCAAAGTTGGATAAGGGAGTTAGTTACGTGTAAAGGAAGTGTTAGTTCCTTTACGACGCCCCTTTCGGGTTCCCTATGACAGGCCGACTATTTAAAAATATTTAAACCGATGAAAATTACGCTTTTACCCTTTTATTCTGCGGAATTTAAAATTATGACTACATGGCCCTAGTATCTATTGCATAATTTAAAATTAAAGCGATAAAAATAGAGAGAGAGAATATAAACCTCCGAAGCACGCTTTTATATTAATTCTCTAAAACTTAGGGTGCTTTGCGGCAACCCTTCACTCTACAGCGTCGGAAATTTCTCGAAACGCCGAAAAACATTCATAGAAACACTCAGAAGCTCCGGAAATGCGTCGGAGGGATTCTAGAGAGAGAAACTTAGGTGATTTCTAGAGAGAAGGAGGAGAAACTCTGTGTGGTGTGTGGAAATGAGGGAAGAGAGCCCCCTATTTATAGTTTTTCGCGCCTGACAGGTCGAGACTGCCGTCTCGTCTGACAGGGTCGAGACCGTCGTCTCGTCAAACGAGACCGCCGTCTCGTCTTGCCAAGGTGGCGAGACCGCGGTCTCGCCAAACGAGACGGCGGTCTCGTCCCCAAAAAGGCGAGAAACCTTATTTTCGTGCCGAAAATCCCTCCTATCCTAGTATGGGGCCTAATAGTCTCTCCTAGTGGCTTGTTAGGCTTCGTCCATCTTCGAATAGGAGGTCTTCTACTCTTTATTTGGAGGTCGGGCAAGATTTGGGGTCTAGATCCATAAATCTTGCAAACTGTCTTTCTTTATCTTTCTTGGAAGGATGACGAGGATATGGTAAATCATTTAGTTGCGGTATTTGACTCTCATCTTTCTCCCTCTTTTTCTCACTCTTTTTATTTTTTCTTCTTTTTCAGTATTTTTTTCTTTGTCTATACTCTCACTTTTATTTTTCTCTTTTTCTCCTTCACACTCATCTTTCTTCTTTTCATCCTCTTTTTTTTTGTAGGATTTCCTTCTCTACAGTCAGGTTCTCACCAATCCCTTCTCCTATAACCTTATCACTCCTTGTAGTTATTGAATTGCATTGCTCCCTGGGGTTGGTTTGTGTGTTAGCTGAAAATTGTTCTCCTTGTTGCTACTCAGATAATTGCTTAGCCAGTTGGCCTATTTGGGTCTCTATATTTCTGAATGAAGCCTTAATATTTTTCTGATTAGCCATAGTACATTGCATGAATTTTTCTAAAGTATCCTCCAATTTACTCATTCTGTCAGGCATTGAAGCATAATGTTGTTGCTGCTGATAATATGGAGGTTGCTGATATGACTGTTGTTGAAATGTAGGTTGTCTAGTAGATGAGTTAACACCTTGGTTCCACCCAAAATTCTGATTTTAATTTTGATTTCCTCTCCATCCTTGTGCAAAATTATTCTGATAATTATTAGGATTAGAAAAATTACCTTGTCTGCCTTGACTACTACCTTGAGCACCCATATAATTAGCTTCTTCTTGTTGAATGTTGCCTTGATAAGAGCATTATTCATTTGCATGATCACCTCCACACACATCACAACTCATCTATTGATTAAGAATGGATTGTACTGTGTGCATTTGTTGAGTTAATTTCTCTATTTTCTGGTTTAATGCTTCAATTTGTTGAATCAAAATTTTATTCTGGGCTAAGATAGCATATGAGGTGTTAAGTTCAAGTACTCCCTTTCTTTGAACTGGATGTCTATCATGTTGGGCCTGTTGGTCTGTAAAAGCTAGTGCATCAATAATTCTTTTGGCATGTTCAATTTCTACATCCAACATGGATCCTCCTGTTGCAGCCTCTAATAGCATCTTTGTATCATATCGCAAGCCAGTATAGAAAATATTCAACTGAGCAATGTCATTAAATCCATGATTTGGGCATCTTCTCAATAGTGATTTAAATTTCTCCCATGCTTCATACAAAAATGTTCATCTGCTCCTTGTCTGAAAGAAGTGATGTCGGATTTTGCTTTGATGTAACGGGATGATGGGAAAAATTTGTTAAGAAACTTCTCTTCTACACTACTCCAATTAGTCAAACTCTGATTAGGATGTGCTTTCAGCCACTCCTTTGCCCTACCTGCCAAAGAAAAAGGAAATAATCTCAAATATGCATATTCAAGATTTGCTGCTCTAAATCCCATGGTACCAATCAACTCATAAAAAGTAGATAAATGAATGTAAGGGTCTTCATGATCCAATCAAGTGAATTGATGAACACTAATCAAGCTTAAGAAAGCTGGATTCATCTGCAATGTCTGGTCATCCGGTATGGCAATGCTGGAAAAATGTCTTAGACCTTGCTGCATAGCACAATTTCTAAGAGTTCTTCTAGGTGGATTTGAATTTGGGTTTTGATTTGGATTTATATTTGGATCTGGATTCAGATTTAGATTTGCTCCTTCTTCCGCCATATCTTCTACAATTGGGTCTAGTAAATCAAGTGTGAAAGAAGAATTAGCAGATTTTCGTGTGGCTTGTTCTTGAGTTTCCCTTCTTCTTCTACCCCGGTTCCTCCGAGCTGTTTTTTCAATCTCTAGATTAAATTCTAACTACTCTGAAGATACCTGTCCTCTTAAACGCATAAATAAAAAGAGTAACGCAAGCAAAGATTAGCACAAAGCTAAACAAAGAATTCTCAAAGAACACCGTTCATCGGCAATGACGCCAGAAATACTTGTTGAATTATTGGCAAGCGTACCAAAATTATCAATCGCAATATAGTATTTCGATTAAATAAAAGTCGATCACACGGGGAACGATTTCAATGGAAATTCCCAATCTTATGCTTACTAAGTAGATTAAAACAGATTGAGTTTTGCAATAAGAGTTGAATTGAAATTAAATGACAAAGAACTGTAGATTGTTGATAAAATATCAATTAAAGGTACTTAGGATTGGTTTCCTTCCTTATCCCTCTTTTGTAATGACTATGTCAATTAAGAACGTCAATTAACCTAACAATGTTGATGCCACCTACTCAAATCATCCATGTTGATTCCTCACACATGAAATTCATAAGAAAACCTAATAAATGTTTATTCCTCACACAATTAAGAGATATTCCAACATTAGGTTTAGGGTGTTAAGCAATTGATACATTTCATTCCATTCCTGGCAATTAACGTAACAAATATTCTTACCGCGATCTAGGGTTCAAGATATATTTTTCAATCATACCTCAAACATCAAGAATAAATCATTCCAAAGCATAAATGATAAGAATAACAACATCAAAACATAAATTAATATCTCAAAATATCACCATGATACAAAAGAGTTCAAAGGAAGTGCACCGAATCATAAGATAATGAAGTTAGCCACTCATGTTGGTCATTACAATGCTCCAAATGTGGAAGAAGTGAAAAATTGATGAAGATTGGACGAAACCCTAGCAGTAGTCGCGCCTCTTCTCCTCCAAAACCGCCTCCCTTCTCAAAACACATCTTATCTTTTTATAAAAGAATTTGGGTCGGGTCTCGCATCATTCATTCGCTTAAGCGTTCTTATTTCTTTCAATTTTTCTTCAATTACTTCACAATTATAATTTTTACTCTTGTATCAATGTATTATCGATTTCATCCTATATTGGGAGAAAAATAGATTAGAATTAACATAACTTAAATGATTTCATACCAATTCAAAGTATAATTATATCAACTTTTTACCACTTAACACCATCTTCTCTCAAACTTATTTCATTAAAAATAGAAAACCCTAATTTTTATATTGAAATGGATTTTGAGCAAAACCTAGTTGGATTAGTCCCAAATGATTTCTCTTGTGTGTGCATGTACATAACTTTGAAAACTTGAAAGCGATTAAAAAGACAAGGCAGAAGCACGCACGGGCTATTCAGCTCTTGGAAATTTTCATGCAAAAACCTTTTGATTCGTACACTGGGGGTCAACCATATATGGCCGTTGACAGCGACAGTGACTTGGCGCAAATTACCAAACAACAGTTAAAATGTAAGCAATAATCAATCACCTGATCAGTTTATAAGTTCATACATCATTCAGTAATATCTAAATTTGAATGTATTCGGTTCCATTTCTCTTTCTGTATATATTTGCATTAGTGGGAACAGCTAGCTCAAGCCAGAATCAACAACAAAATAATGGAACAGAATTTGCAGCAAAAGATGAGGAGAAGGAAACAAGATTTGTGACAGTGGCGAAAGCTGGCATAGTCGACCTTGTGAATGAGCTTCAAAACAGAGGTTAATTATGTTGTTACATAATTTGAATTTAATTATAAAACATGGGATGAAAATTGAATAGTTGGGTGTATATCCTTGTCAGTGTTCAATCAACCAATGGAATCTGCAGCAAAAGAAGAGGAAATGGAGTCTGCATATTTGACAGCAGCAAGAAACGGCATTACGGAAATTGTGCATGCACTTCATTTTAAAATACCAAGTGTCGTACATGAAACTAACTCTAAAAATCAAAATGTATTGCTTGTGGCAGCGAAGAATAAGCAAGTAAATGTTGTTCAGTTGTTGCGGAAGAATCTTGAAAAGAACGTCTTTCGTAGCTTAATTTCAGAAATGGATAACAGAGAAAACACAGTGCTACACTTAGCTGCAGGTGCATCGAGCAACGAAACGACTTGGAAGTCACTTGCTACTGTGATGCAAATGATGTGGGATATCAAGTGGTATCAGGTATGTATATTTATAAGCTTTTCAATATCTTTCATCATATAGATAGTAATTCTTTCAAGGGAGTGTTTGTAATTAAAATTAATCATTATTAAAATATGAACAATCTAAACTGTAATTAAGTGATCCCTTGGTTGTATTGGATATCATGCATGGAGTAGTACATCAGTGATCTTGTGCCGGAAGAATTCATTTATATACGCAACAAAGATTACAAGACTGCATGGGAAATCTATGAGGCGAAACACAAGGATAAAGCGAAAGAGTGCTCAGAGAACCTAAAGGACTTATCCAATTCTGGCTCAGTTGTGGCGGCTCTCATCGCCGGCGTTTCCTTCGCAACGTCGAGCACCGTTCCCGGGGGCACCGACAAGGGAAAACCTATCTTCGGTGGCCATCCTGCATTTAATGTATTTGCCACTGCTTCCCTGATTGGACTTGTCTTCTCCATCACTGCACTTGTAATGTTCCTCGCCATACTAACTTCTTCAAAACAGGCCCAAGACTTCCGCTTTAGCTTGCCATTGAAGCTTAGTTTCGGCTTAAGTTCTCTTTTTGCATCCGTTGTTGCAATGCTTGTTTCTTTTGGGGCTGCACAGTCCTTTGTGCTTGAAGAAAAGTCCAAGATAATACTCCTCCCTGTTTATGCTACCACTTTGTTGCCTTTGGCTCTCTATGAAGTGCTGCACCTTTCATTCTGGTTTGATCTTCTTAGATTTGTTTCCAAGAAGGAGCCATGGACATTGTAGGTACAGAGATAATCTTTAAACTCAGATTATGTTATATGGTATCACTATTATTGTTTATTAGTATTGTAATTACTATGTATTCCCTTTTTATAGCATGTAAATTTTTATATATTGATTTTCTATGTATTTCTGCCTTTTAAGGATTTTAAACCCTGTTTATATAAATTGTGCTAATAAGGATTTCTTATATATAACGTATATTTGTTGTAAGAGAGTGAGATTCTTATATAAGGGTTTCTTTTGTAACAATAACAAATTACATGATATTTTTAAGTTTCAAAGTATTGTAATCTCATAAGACCTTCAAATCAATAAATAAATATTTATACAAATTGACTAGTTTGTATAAATTATTTTCCGATGACATTATTTTTACTCATATGTTAAGAAATTCTTGAAAGACGTATTATTTTTACTTACATGTCAATAATAATAATAATAATAATAATAATAAAATTTTCCAAGAATTCTGAATTTGTTAAATAACATATTTTTGAAAAAGAAAAATACTGAAATAGACCACTTATAAATATTTTTACTCATTTATACTACAAGAAAAAACACATTTAGCGATCGAAATTAGCGATCGAATTTTTCTATGTGGCAATTAACGACCGATTTAATTCGATCGCAATTAGCAACCGATTTAGCGACCGATTTAATTCGGTCGTTATTAGCAACCGAATTAGCGACCGAATTAATTCAGTCACAATTTAGCGACCGATTTAGCCACCGAAATATAATTTGGCTTCACATTTTTTAGTTAGCTGACCGAAATAGCGACCAATAGTTTGCGTCGCAAATTTTCGATCGCTAAATCTGTGACTATTCCACACTAAAATAAAAAAAATCATTTAGCGATCGATTTAGCGACCGAATTACAAATTGAAATAGTGACCGAATAATAATCGGTCGCTAATGAGAAAATAGCGATCGAATTTAAATCTAGTCGCTAACGAACATTATTTTTTTATGATATTTAAATTTATTTTTTTATAAATATACTTTAATTGTTTTAGTATATTTTTGACAATTTATTTTTTAAAAGTAATTTATTTTCTAAAAATAATTTAATTTTTAAAAGATACTTTAAAAATAAACTTTGGTCTCAATATTAACAAAATGAAGATTAACTTTAATTTTAAATTACTAAAATAAAAATATTATTAAAAATAAATCAAATTTATTAAAAATTTAAATTGTAATAAATTAAGACTAGAGTAATATTAACTATTCAATACATTGTTTAAGAAAAGTTTAATAATAAATATTCTTTAATTTATTTTTCAATTGAAAATTTCAATTGAAATTAAATTAAATTTTAAAAATTTATATTAAAAAAATTAAACACATCAAATGATCACATTTTAATTCCTCATTAACTTAATTAATTAAGAAAATAAAATTTTAATCAAATTATTACAATTTTATTTTATAAAACTTTATTTTTAATCTAATCTTTAAATTTATTGCTTTATTATTATTAATTACTTAACCATGGTTATTTTCATATAATTGATATACAAAAAAATTATATCAATATACATTAGATAATCAATATACATTAGTTTAAGTATACTAATTAATATTTTTTCATTTTTAACATAATTAATAACAAAGATTAAAAATAGACTCCTAGAAAAGTTAAAAATTTAAAACTAATCTATTTTATAAATACTAAAAATAAACCATATTTAAATAAATTAAAAATATATTTAAATTTATATTCAACCTATATAATAGGTTACTAACCGCTATCTAA